TGCCAAGTACACAGAATATTCTGCATACATGTAGGTATGCAGAATATTCTCTATTCAAGTACACACTTGGGTTTCCAGAGTGGCAGTTTACACTATTTTGACTTGCTTTGGGCGGTCACGACAAACGGTACTTTAGGCCAAGCGTTCCGCGACCAGACAGGTACGGGGCATTTTTCTTCCGCGGGAGGATGACACCGACGGCACCGCCTTTCCTATTTATCAAAGAGAGCGGGGAGAGCGGAGGCCGGGGGTCTCTCACAAGGCCGGCCCCACGTGCTAGTGCCACGCAAAACACGCTGCTAATTTGCCTGATTGAAAACGGCAGCGTGTGACTGATGATGCACACGGCAGTTCCACTCTCCATCAGCATACTACGGGGAGGGCCAATTTATTAGTAGTGGAGGAGAGAGGAAGAGAGGAGGAGAAAGTGAAAGGGAGAAAGGGTGGGGAAATGCGACCGGGGCTGTGGGTGGGTTGGGAGGGTTGGGGCATTGCACGTTAAAGAAGAAACACAGTTGTAAATGTATTCAGACGAGGGGCATGAAAAACAATTTTACTACACCCCTACAAAGCCACAAAGTGCGTTCCAGCCCTCCCCACAGAGAGGTCTCCCCCGCCGGCCACGAGACCAAGCGCGAATACACTGCAAACGAAAGCACGGCGGGTGGGACGCAGAGCCGAGACAATGCCAGTGGGGAGATCCCGCCAGCCCTGCAAGAAGGGGGCGGCAGTTAATTTAAACCAGCGGGGATCAAACCGAGAGGAAGTTGTCCTGCGTCGTCCCGGCCTCCCTCTATCAGAGCCACCGTGGAGCGGCCCGCGCGGCCTCCTCGGCCCGCGAGGGATCACAACTTGATCCAATTTGTTTTCGAGGCGACCCATTCAGTTAATGTTATCCGCCGCCCACCGCGGCTTCGCCCCGCGCCCCGCGCCTCCCCGTCCGGCTGGGCGACGGCGCCACGAGGGGAGAGAAGGGGACGGCTTTGATTAGGTGTGGCAGCCCGTGTCGCCCGGCGCGAGGCCCGGCCACGCCGACAGCATCCCCACTCCTCATTCAGTTGAAGCTCGACGCCTGGTTAGCAGGAAGCGCGAAGATGAAAGGAAAGGTGAGTTAAATGTTGCTCTGCCAAGCAAAATGTCAAGCATGTCGCGGGGTCCGTGTCTTCATAAGGGACACGGGAATACATTTTTTAAAGTCCAATGATACATCAGCACTTTCAAAATCTTGTTAATAATTGCATGGCATTAATGCTGGCTCGAATGCTGGCCATCACACGTGTACGTTGGATAATGTCTATGCTCCACGAAACCGTTCGCCGCGCCTACGGCCACATCTCTTCAAGAATCCCAATCGCGGCCGAAAGACGGACGGCGGGGACACAACGATGGGGAGCGCTCGCGAAGAGAGGGAGAGTGCCTCGGCGAAAGTCCTCTCCTTTCTTTCCCCTCTGACCAATAAATTCTGACCAGAAATGTGAAAGAAAATTGGTTCGGCGAGCTTCTGGGTTAACGCAGAGGCTCGGGTGTGCGAGGCTCTAAATTCTCCGATGATGGGTGAATCAGGAGAGAGAGCTACTACTCGCCGTGCCTGCACCCTGCACCCTTCGACAGATCGAAGGCCGCGGCCGGCCGACGAACACAGAGGGCTTTAGGTCGGCCGTGGGCCGGATGGGGGGCGGAGCGGACGCACACTTCATCTCCTCCCGGAGTGAGGAATGTTTTGGCTCAAGCGCCCCCCCCCTCCCCC